GCTTCAGGATCTGTCCTTCCAGTGAGCAACTAGCAGGATAGCATTCCTCATTTTGGAGCTTAGATGGCATAATCTTAGCAAATGTCCTGTGTGGAAAAAGGGAAGCTGTACTCAAGGTTCTTAGGGAAGCTGTTTTCAGCCTCAGTAGTTTCTCTTGCTGGAATGTTCTAGGACTAGATATTCCCATCATGGCAGTTGTTTTGAAACTCCCATGGTAAGAATACTGCATGAAGCATCACCTTTCATGGCTGCCTTTTTGCTATGTCAAAACTGCAGTGATCCCAACTGTCCCAAAAGCTTGGTGGCTCCTAGGTAAGTAAATTTATTTTGGTGTAAGGGAACATTCACATCTTCTTTTCACCTTTACTTTCTTTATAAAGATCTAGCCATGTCTTTAAAAGCTATTATAAACATGTCCTTTTCCAGAGTCTTCTCTTCTCATGAGATGGCCAAAGTATTGGGGCCTCGGCTTCAGGATCTGTCCTTCCAGTGAGCACTCAGGGTTGATTTCCTTCAGAATGGATAGGTTTGTTCTCTTTGCAGTCCGGGGGACTCTCAAGAGTCTCCTCCAGCACCACAATTCAAAAGCATCAGTTCTTCCGGCGTCAGCCTTCTTTATGGTCCAGCTCTCACTTCCATACAACACTACTGGAAAAACCATAGCTTTGACTATGTGGACTTTTGTCGGCAAGGTGATGTCTTTGCTTTTTAAGATGCTGTCCACTCATGCGTCCGGCACTGCTGCCGGCCTCACTCATCTTTCCAATCAGTCTCGGAGCCCCATTCTCTTCCTGCTCAGCTAGCCAATCCAGGCAAGGCGACTTGGCAGCCACACAGGGAGATTCATCCTCCCTCCTCTTGCCAGGACAGGTGAGCTGATCAGGAAGAGAATGAGTGATTGGAAGGATGAGTGAGGCTGCTGGTGGTGCTGGACGTGTGAGTGGATGGTCTGGGCCCAGGGAACGGACCCTCGTTAACTCCAGCTGTACAGGGATATTCGTATTCATATACAAATACCCCTGTATCTACTCAAATCTACACTTTACAGTACAGCACAACATGGTAGGAGCTTTAAGGGATGAAAACCATTTTAGTAGTAAAAACATTCAAGCATTGTGCAATTTAAAATCTGTTATAATAATGGAATATTAAAGTTAGTTATACTTGAAATCACAATTAAGCACATTATCTTTTGGTGACTACAAACTAAAACTCCTTTCTTTATACAGTATATGCTTTGGCTAAACTGAATCAAAATATCATTATCAAGAGGAATAAGGAGACTGAGGAAGAGCAGCATTAGGCAGCGGTATCAAGAGCATTTCTACTGTCCCCTACTGTCTTTCTAAAAATTAAGTATTGTCCTAACTTTCTTGGTAGACTGCGTCACAGCACAGCAAGCATCTATTTTCAAGCCCAGAATAAAAAATGAAAAAAAAAGCCAGACCTTCCATCTGTCCTAGAAAAATCCACCTCAGATTTTCCTTTCCTCCTTGCAGCCACTTTCTTCACCTAGTTTCCTGCTGTTGTTCCTTTCTTATCTTAAAAATGCCTATCTTCTTATCTAGGTTCCAGAGGTTAAAGCAAACCAAAATGTTTTGTTTTAAAAATTATGGCTAGTGTACAAAAGGGAAATTTAAAAAATGAAAGGTGAATGAAGCTAGGAAATAAAAGAAAACAGATATTTAAAATTGCATCTGTCTTTTGGCATTCAGTCTGTTAATCAATTTATAAAACCAACACTGTTCTTAGACACAGATCTGCTGGCAAGAGCTGGAATGAGAAAACACAGGAGTTTAGTGACTCAGAGGTACTGGAAAGGAAAGGGAGAGAAAAGGAAATACATTCTTGCAGATACTGTTTACAGCTAGAGAACATAGACTGCCTCTCAAAAATCTGGCAAACTGTAATGGCTGCTGGAATAAACTTCGCATCCTGAACACCACTGTTGCTCATGAAGATCAAAGGCACTCTTGCCTACTTGGGCTGCCAACTGCTGGCAAGCAGGCCTTTCTTAAGGTTGAAAGGAAAACATCAGAGGGGGCAAGAAATTACTTGTGCACAAAGGGACATTCACTTATTTTACACAGTACTGGATAGACCCCATTGTTAAGACTGAAAGGGTGACATGCACATCTGGGTCATTCTCTGCCTTTAAGAATCCATTCAACTAAATTCACTTGTAAAAATAAATTTAGAATACTCTTCTTCTTAAAATGAAAATCACTGATATTCCTTTGCAATTACAAAAAACAGTACATTTAAAGTTTTTTTAAAAAGCAACCCACTACCAATAACTATGCTAATGGCTTCTTTTAAAATCTTAGCCATCTTTAATTCATTTCAAAATTAATATTTAAAGTTTTGCAAACAGTTCAGCTAAGTGTGTAACTGCAGGCATCCTTCCTCTAAGCTTGGGAGCAAAGAAAGGTATTTTCATTTGTTTTATTCATCTCCCACCTTTCTACCAATAAAGTGCCTCAATGTGACTCACAAAACATTTAAAAGATAAATGCATCTAAAAATTCAATAAATTACAACATTAAAATCATATCTATATATTAAAAACAGTGTAAAACATTTAAAAGAACATAAAAACACATTTTAAAAGTCATCCAGTCTGTAATGCACTGTTACAAGGGATGACAGTGGCCATACTGCTATTTGGCTAATACCCACCACCAAAATCCCTTTGAGTCCTGGTAGAGCCACAGCCCTAGTGACACCTTGCCATGTTTTGATAGTTCCCAGTACCAGCACCCTTGTGGAATGACTTTCAGGGCAGGTGGTAAACAGAGCTTAGCCTGCTGGCGAACAAACATAAATAGGGCCTCTCAAATCATGGCAGTATTTTCCACATACCATCTAGAAGGCAGAAGAGGACTTCTATAAATTATTTTAAAGAAATAAAAAATCAGGGCAGGTGGTAAACAGAGCTTAGCCTGCTGGCGAACAAACATAAATAGGGCCTCTCAAATCATGGCAGTATTTTCTACATACTATCTAGAAGGCAGAAGAGGACTTCTATGAATTATTTTAAAGGAAAAAAAAAGATTTGGGGTAGGGTGGGGGTGGGGGAAGAAGCTGCAAAAATGGCCCTGGAAGGTGACATGTAACCTGCCCGGTGTCCACTCCTGCTTTAACATGAGCAGATAAGAGATCAATGGAGACTTGACTTACAGACTTTTTGACTTGAGAACCACCTTCTAATACGGATTAAGTTCTCAAGTCAAGACCCCACTGTAACCTGCCCGTTGCCCTCTCCTGCTTTAACATGAGCAGATAAGAGATTCAAAAAAATGGACAATTACCCAA